TTTCCGTCAAATAAGTTAACTATGATTTAAAGTCAGGGAGGCAATAGCTATGACTTAAATCCAATCAATTTGACATGCTGTTTATTAGAGTTTATTTAGTTAATAAGAAATAAATTATAAGTTTTATGTTTGCAAAATGTTAAGAGTATTTATTATTGTTATTAAATATATTTTGAATACAATGTTAAGAACTTGTAGGAATCTGTTGAAATCTGTCCTTTTTTTAAGGCATTTTCATGCCCTTTATATAGAAAAATACAATTAAAGAAAATCTATAATATTTATGATACTACTAACAATAATAATAGAGCTAACAGATATGCTAATTATGTTAAATATGTTATAAATAATAATAATGATATAAATAATAGAAATATAATAAATAATATATGTGTCCTATTTGGCAGATATAGTAGATTTGGCAGATTTGGCAGATCTGGCATATTTGGCATATTTGACAGGTTCATCAATTTTTGCCAGTTTCAACATATTCTTCAAACCCAGTATTTAGGTATAATCAACATCAATTAATGAATTGATCAACTAATTATAAACACATATTAATATATACATTTATATATTCAGTTATATATGAAATTCTTAAGAAAACCATTTAGTTTTATGTTTCAGCTAAGATCTGAACCTATGGCTATTACAGTGTAACCTATAATAAGAGTAATAAGAGTTCAATTATTACTAATTGAACTAGAATTGTTAATCCTTATATAATGATATATATATATATATATTTTTTTGATAGTTTTAGTATTCAAAATACTAGGAATCTTTATAATAATTATATGCATGTTTAGGACTATTAGGTAGTTCAATACTAATTATTTAGATCCTTTAAGTCATAATTAGATATTGTTAATTAGAATCTACCTCTGAAATACTGGTTCAAATTTTGCTTCTAGATGACACTCCTAAAAGCGAACTTTTAGGGCTTCTAAACCTTGGAACCACTGTCAAATTTAGATAGAGAAATCACTTTCAACTATAGATACTTATGTCACTTTTTTTTTGTGCTTACTAATACTATATCCGGATTACTATTATCTCTACCTAGTATCAGAGTATTATACATAATTGGGAAGACTTAGATATAATCATTTTTTTATAGAATCTCAGAAAGGTAAGTGGCTGTTATACCCATATTGTCAAATTTACCTAAGAATTAAACCCAGCTTTTAACTTTAATGATAGCTCAATTAGATGATACTATGATAGTATAATATAGTCTATTATTGTCATAGCTACCTGAAGGTAATACCTAATCTACTAATTACTGGTTAATCACTTTCTTACTTGTGTAAGGGCCCCTGAATTTTAAGATGTGAGACAGTATCTATTATAGACCTATCAGTGAAGACTAAGTTTCTATTGATCTTTAACTTTATTTGCATCTACTTATTCTTAAAATCTAGTATTTAACATGATTAACACTGATTGATAGATTGATCGATCAGTTATAAATGCATATTAATCTATACACTTACGTATTCAGTTATATATAAAATTTTTAAGAAAATCATCTAATTTTATACCTTGGTTGAAGCTTGAACCTGTGATTATTGCAGTATAATTCACGATAAAAGCTCAGTTGTTACTAACTAAACTAGAGACGCTAATCCCTCTATATAATGATATATAATTTAATTATTTTTTATATAGGTATTCTATAAATAACTGTTATACAAATATTTTTTTATTATATAAGATTTTTTAATTAATTTATTTGTTTTAATAATTGATTTTTTAATTAATTTATTTTTTAATTATTTATTTTAACAATTGATTTTTTAATTAATTTATTTTATAATTTATTAAAATTTTTATTAAAATAATTGATTTAGCTATAATTTTTAATTAGATATTTATTAATAAAAAATCTGATTATTAATATTTAAAACTTTGAACTAAATTCTTAATATTTTATTAATAAATGTTTTAAAAATCAATAAAATTTTAAATTTTAATCATTTTTTATAATTTCAGTTGATAAATATTGTCAAATTTCTAAAATTTCATTTAAATTCTTAGTAATATTTTTAAAAGTTTAGTAAAAAATTCCAAATATTTTATTAATAATGTATAATTGTTTTTAAAGTAAATTTTATTAGTATAATATATATAAAAGACTAATATCCTTATTTGAGTAATACTTTAAAATTGCTATTATGATAAAAAATACATTATAATTTTTAATTAATTTTAAATAATTAAATTTTTAAATAAATGCTAAATAAAATAAAATAAAATAGATTTACAGAATTAAGCTATACTAATACATGATTTTATATCTAGTGATTTAGAATTTAATTTTTATTAATTTCTATATGAATTTCTGAAAATTTTCATATATTTTGATATTAAATTTTCTGATTTAATTTTCTGATAGATAATATAAAAATTTGATTAATAAAATATAACATTTTTTATAATAAATAAGAATTACAGTCCTTAACGAAAAGAATGGCAAAAACATATTTCAACGGTATGTACAAACTTTATTTTAATATATATATTTTTTTATTATTTATAAGAACAATACTAATGACAACTTTTATATTATTAATTAATATTGATGTGTCCTCCTTCTGCATTGATACATGCTTTAACCCGGCTTAGCATGCTCTCGATGCATCGAAGTAATATAGCATCATCAAGATCGTCCCATTCCTGCCAGATTGTATTAAGGAATACATCGTGGGTAATATTTTTTTTTTGCTACTAAATACTTGATCTTTTTCTCCACCTTTCCCTTTAATACAGCTCATACATTTTCAATAGGGTTCAAGTCTGGGCTGTATGAAGGCCGAAAAAGAACTTATCCTGGAAGATGTTTTTTCAAGTCTCCTTAAACATCATGTGAGGTGTGTTTTGGATCATTATCTTATTGAAAGACGCAGCCACATCTGTATAACATATCCGCGTTATTATACAGATAGTCGTCTAAGATTTTTCGATACAAATGATGATTCAAATTTTCAGTAAATAAATGAATGCCAATTTTTCCTTTAGCACTAATCGCTGCCCAAACATGAACCTTGAATGGATGCTTTACCATAGGAGCAATTGGTTCTGCATTATGAAACTATGCACACATGGTATTTCTAAACATCTGAAGTGTTGTTTCATCAGAAAAAACAATTTTTTTCTAGTTGTATCGTGAATGATCACATGCCCAAGACAAACAAAATTCCTTCGCTTTTTGGGTTAAAAGAGGAATCTTTCTTGGAAGAACAGAAACATATCCAAGATTGTTAAGCTCACAACGTATTATACATTCACTGACATCAAGGTTAGGATTTTTTTTTTCAATTTTACCTTAATTTCGCCTGCTTTAGTAAAATGATTATGTTGCAGAATTTTTCCAATATGGCGGCTTTGATTTGAAGCCAATTTTCTTGGACGGCCAGAAGAGTGACCAATAGAAATTTTGCCAGTTTTATTTAGTAAACTGACATATCGTTCACATGTGCGCAAAGGAATGCACAATCGATTAGAAATTTCCTTTGCATTACGCACTTTTTGGTCCCAAAGTGACTTAACAGAATTTCTTTGTATTTTTAAAGAGCTTGGCATAGTTTCGGAAAGGAAATCAAAATAAAAACAAATAACAAACCTTATTTTTTTAACTTACCTTTTTAATTCAGGTTCCAATGTCCGATTTGGGCATATAAACAAATGCCTAAATCCGGAAAGTGGTGAAACCGCAGCCTAAAATAGATGCGGTCTTCCACCGCCATTCTTTTCGCCGGGGACTGTAACTTATTAATTTTTTCAAAGTCATATAACTAAAAGTTTTGTAATTAATAAGATTATTAATATATATTCTGTAAATCTTATTATCAGACATAATTTTTTGGCATTAAAATCCTTTGCATATTTTTCTGCATAAAAAAGTTCTTAGAAGACATCAATGGAAATTGTGTGATATTTAAAAGGGTAATATATAAATATAAAATTTTTTGACGGTTCATTTCTGATCCAAAAAACTATAAGATTTCAAGAAAGCATGTTTGAAGGATTACGTCAAGAAAAGTAGATTAGAATATATGTATAATGTCGATGAAGAGACTGAAATACAATTGTAAAAGGACGGCATTTATACCAGTATCCAAGAAATGTTGTTACTTATGCGAATTGTATATCCAATTTGTAAATAATAATATAGAAGATGCCAACTTCAAGAATGAATCCTTGTCATATATGATAAACCATCTCGATCAGATCATGATGGATGAAAAATATAGGTTAATGGCGAAATCTGACAGTGAAGAAGGTTCTGAATAATTTGCAATAGCTAAAGCTTTTTATGAAGTAGTAAAAAATTTATAAAGAAATTTCATATCTGGTTTTTTTTTTGAGAGGGTTCAATTGTATGATGGAGTATTTTATCAATAAAGCATAAAAATCCGCGTACACAATTAAAAAATTCAGTGAATTCGTAAATGAAATATCAATATAAAAAGCCGATGCAAGTTATAAGATTGTTGGAGTAGCGGACGTATAAAGGGAAAAGGGAGGAAGCATTTCGAACCCTAACTCACAAGATGAAAATTCCTTTCCTTATAGGTAAATCATATAGGTTTTTATAATCACACCTTTTTTGGTCCCGAGGGGCTAATGCTATTATTTTCGCGCCTATTTGCACTATGATTTCTGAAACAAATAACCAATTCCATGTATTCTATCCCTATACCTATACTAAAATTTTCGCAACGTCATTAAAACATGATTTTTTATTTCAAAAAATTTTTCTTTTAGACTTTATAAAAATAAATTACATAATACAACATACAACATACAGTAGATATTAATAAATTACGTGAATTGCTTACTGATATTAAAGGTACCTTTAAGAGTAAATTTGTCATATACTAATTTGATTATCCGACAACAATTTACTAATTATATCCCTAACGATTAAATTTTCCACACATTATAAAAGCTCTTTTTTTTTTCTTTTTTTTTTGGATAATAGATTGTCTAAGTTAATCAATTTCATAATCTGTATCATCGCTTCCTCCAATGAAAGGAATAGGTAAAAATCTTTTTTTAACAAAAAAAAAAATAGTATTTTAATAGTTTTGTCGTATAACTTCAAAAAACGCCTAAAGAATATTCAATATACAAACCCTCCATTCCCAGAATGTCGAGAGAAATAATCAAAATCTATAGAGATGGCCGCTGCTAATATCACAGCGCGTTGATCAAACGTCAACTCTCTAGAATCCATTCTTATTACATATTTTCCCGTATCGGTAAAAAGCTTAAATAATACAAAACATAAACATTAATTTTAGGAGATTTATAAGAAAATGAAGAAAATGATATTGATATATACCTCTCTAGCAATACCTGAAAAATTACGATTAACGCTTCCAAGAATACTACCAAGTTCATCTTCGATATTGAAATCCCACGATAAGAAACCAGTATCAATCCTTGCGAACTGTTTTCGGCTTATTTTATGTTTCGACAATTCAAAATTAATAGATAAATATTATAATCAATAAAACATCATTTAAAATATATTATTATACTTGATAAACAAATTATATCGTCTTCGCCATAAATGCCATTGTTGATGAACTTCTCCAATCAAGTGTTCTTCACTAGTACTAATAAATATGCGAGAGTTGATCCATGCAAATGGTCTTCTAATCTTCAAAATCAATTGACCCTCCAAATCTATAATCATGGCGTTAAATTTTCGGTGCGTTCTGAAAAGTTGTCTTAATATAGTTGAAGCAAAAGACTCCTCTTCAGCAACATATCCTACACAATTCCCATTGGGATCAAGAAGAGCATATTTATTTGCTTGTTCAAAACCCTTCATTTTTTAAATATCAAAAATTTTAAGTTAAAAAAGTAAAAAGAATTCTACAAATTTATGTTATGTTTCTACAACAAAATCATTACCAAAAAGATATTAAGAATTTCTAACTGTCTGGCTACTACTAGGGTTGGATTTTGTAAAATTTGTGCTGCTGGATAGTAACGATTTAAAACTTCAAAAGGCTGTTGAATAACCTCTTGTACTTTAGTATCAGGAACATCTTTCCCTTCGGATCTTTTAGTATTCCTTTCGATCAAATTGTTTATATTAATACGATTAATGCGGCTAATTCCCGATCCTTAAAAGGTTTTTGGTGGTTTTAGAAATAATTGTGAATAAAAAAAATGGCACACTTTTGTCAAAAGGGACTACTTACCTCTCAAATTTCTTTGACATAATGACGTATAACATTGAAACGAATTTAAGTTTTTATTTGGGTAAAATGTAAAATATAATTTATTCACAAAACTTTTTAAACGATATTGCCACATAATTTTGAAAAATGATGGTCAAAAAAAAATTTTAATATTTTCTTAACAAAGATCGACATCATGTGATTTGAGTAAAAAATTTCCTATTTCATCAAACTTTAAATCAATTCTTTGCCTTGTTTTTCTTTCGTGTACCTCAACCCTTCCGCTATCTAAAAATCTCCTTCCTAATATCATCATCCATGGATAACCAACTAACTCAGAATCCTTTATCCGGTAACCTAAAGACAAATTGGTTCTATCATCGATAAGTATTTCACCATTCAATTCATGGCTGGTTGAAGTTAACAAGTCGAATAAATTTCGCGTTGATTCCTGTATTGTTGGTTCATCTGAGCTTGGAATAATACAAACTTTATAAGGTGCAACGGACGATGGCCAAATTATACCATATTCATCATGTGAAGTTTCGATGATTGCAGCAAGGATCCTTGAAATCCCAAGACCGTAACATCCCATTTGAATTGGCCTAAGTTCTCCGACATTTTCAGGTGCAAATGTAGCTTTTAAAGGTTCTGAATATTTCGTACCTAAAAGAAAAGTGTGACCAACCTCAATGGCACGATGACCAAAAAGAGGATAAAGACTTTCAGAATGATTTAGAACCGAGGTTATGGAACATACAGGACATTCATCACCTGGAGAAGTGTTATGAAAGTCACCATGATGTATACTGGTAGGATGCTTTACAATAGATTGTATTTCAGAAATTATTTTGTTGAATAATTGATTGGACTTTAAATCGGATGAATTTGTCTGAAAAGTATTGTCAACGTAAATATCAACAGCCTCGAAATTGTTATTATTTAGAATATCTTTTATATCTACATTATCATTTCTAATTGGAATAATTTCAAAGTTCTCAGAGTTTGCAGCTTTTAGCTTGGATACATTTAAAACGCGTCCGAATTCTAATATGCTTATTATAAGTCTATTATTTTTGCCAATCCCAAAGTTAACCGTTTGCTTTTGATTTACATGAGAAGATATTTGTTTTGTTGGAGAAACAAGTCCGTGTGCACGTTCTTCATTTGCCGAATATCCACAATGAGGGCAAGTTAATATCAAATCTTCTCCAACTATAGAAAGAATTGTAAGAAAATCTTTAATTTCAAAATTTTCTATATAAATTCATCTTTATATATTTATTATCACCTGGAGATAAAAAATGAAACTCGTGTGATTTAGTCCCTCCAATATTTCCTGAATCTGCATCAGCCTACATTATTAACAAACTAAACATTCATGTTGTTCATTAAATAATTCAAAAGTAATGTTGATTAAAAGGACTTACGATAACAAATGGAACTCCGATCTTTTCGAAAATTTTTTTATAAGCAATTGAGACTTCCTCATATGTTCTTAGAGCATCCTCTTCACTAACGTCAAATGTATATAAATCTTTCATGATGAATTCCCGTCCACGGAGTAGACCATAGCGAGGTCGCATTTCATCACGATATTTTCTACCTAGAATACATAATAATATGGATGTTGTGTCACATGACTATGTAGTTGATCATTTAAAAATGTTACCTAATTGATACAATCGTAATGGAAGTTGCCTGTATGATGCAACCTCGTGTCCGACTAATAGAGTAATTTCTTCTTCATGTGTAGGTGCAAGACAGAACTCAGATTCCTTCCTATCTTTGAGGCGAAATAGCTATATTCAAAAAAAAAAAAAGTTGATTTGTTTTTTTTTTATGCAAAAAAGTGATTAAATTTTAATAAATCTATAAGTAATTATATTTCTACCAATAGCAAACCTCGCTACCAGCTGATTCCCAACGTCCTGTCCGTTTCCAGGCATTAGCACTCAATAAGTTTGGAAGAGATAATTTTTGTGCACCTATTCGATCATGATAAATGTTAAAAAAAAATAAAATAAAATAAAAACTATATATTTCATATAACCATTACGTTTTCAACTCACCAATATTTGTCATTTCAAGATCTATTATTTTTTCTATCTTGTTAAGTGAACGTAATGCTAATGGTAAAAGTGAATACACTCCAGAAGAGGACTGTTAAAGCAGAGTAATATATATACAATTATCATAAATTGTAAATTAAAAATTAATAGGTATAGCTTTAAAATCATACCTGTCTTATCAGCCCAGCGCGTATCATGAGTCGGTGACTCTTACCATCTTGTTCATTTTCTTTTGTACTTGAAGTATTTTTCGTGGTTGGAAGAAAAATTTTCGACACACAACTTCTGTTGCTATAACCTTGAGTCTATACAAAATGAATTTAGCTGAATAAATAAACAAATACTCTAAAATCTGTACTGACCGAATGACCACGGATAAAATATTTCTTCTGTACGAATAACTTTCTTGACCGTTTCAATAAACAAATTGAGCATTTACTGAGCATTATTATTATTATATTTTTTTTTTTTTTAGCATAAAAGAAAAGATTGCTGATTTACCGTGCAGTGATCAGAGATATGTGAAATTCCGAATATCATTGGCCCTGGGTACGTTAAATGAATCTCTCTTCCAAAGGGGAGAAGGAGTATGTTGATCGATTAATCTAACTTTACTAGGCCGAACTGTTGCATAATACAGTAAGAAATTATACTGCATTATTAGGATATAACTATTTATCAGATGATGATGATGAGAGTGTTCATCTTCCAATTTTGAAATAGTACCTGTTTTGCTCACAAATTTTTTTCACAATGAGTGTTCATATTCTTACTCTGATGAATTGAAGGATAAACCGGGGTGATAAATTTTATAATACAGATTGTACAAAATATTTGCCTCTTGATTATAAAATGTTTATCGTAAATCAACTTCATGATGAAGTAGAAGAAAGGCAGTAAATTTTACCAAAGGAAGTAAGTTTCAAGTCAGTTGTGAGAGTGGCGTCATGCAATTTTTAGTTTGAACATATAAAAGACTTTGGAATCTTTAGGCAGCTATCTGAGCGAATTACTCTACTGCATGCATTGAATGACTTAATTTATATTCAGCACATTCTCTTATAAAAATGATACTTTGCTCCAAGTTATGTCTGAACGTGAATATAATTCATACCTTTATTGAGAAATACCTTTCTCAAAGAACAGAAATTAGCATCAATATCTTATAACAAACTCATAAAAATTCTAAACATTGCTGGAAAGAGTAGACCAAAGCTTAACGGAAAAGCTTTTCATAGATCATTAGGCACGAAGCGCAGGAAGACAGGGTTCTAAATATATGCGGAAAGAGGAAAGGTGATCTCAGAAAGTTAGAATATTGTACAAAGTTATTTTAACAGCTTTGTATATTTTTTACTACTGCAAAGGTTAGAATTATAGATATCGAAATATATTGAATACAATCTAATGGATTTCAACTTACTATACCGGCATCAAAGTATCTTTTCGAAGGCACAATTATAACAATGGACTTACAATGTATCGAGGTACCAAATCTTTCTCGAAATTTACAGTAGCTATAAAGTTATTTTATCCTGTTCAGCAAGGACACAAATGTTTTTTTGAGATTTAAAAGTGGTAACAGACGCCTAAGCAATTCACACCAAAAAAATTTTCTATAAATTAATGGTAATAAATTTTTCTTATTATATAAATAAAAATTCAAGTTGAAAAGAGGATCATTTATTTTTCTTTATGAACCGGTGAAGATGTATTAGTGAGTTATCATTTGCCTTGCAAATCTTAGTTAATGTAAAGCCGTATAACTTACATGTTGATTGTATATAAGGTTCTGATGATCAAACGCGTCTGTCCTCCGCGATTAATTTGCTAATTACATCTCTTAACGATGTAAATTATCGAACTTTGAATACTTTCATATCTCATTTGTATTAAGTTAGCCTTGTCTGTGGAACCTGATAATAGGTTTATCACAATTATTTCTCAACTATATGGGTTTATTTAATTAAGGTTAGCAAATAAATCCACAATTTATCTTGATGACGAGCTTTTAACCAAGTTATTAAAGAACCTAATTATTTACTATGATGAGATATTTAAGAATTTAAATCTTACATCAAGTTCAATAGGTGAAGTGATGAGTAGTTCTATAAGTTATGATTCTTTGTAATCTAATAATCTACCAAATTAACTTGCTTAATTATTTCTAATAATTGTTTCAATTGTAATAGCAATATTACAATAAATACTTTATCATAATGAATAAATATTTTAAGAGACTCAAGACACTATATTTATATCTAATTATTGAATTCTTAATTAATAATTAATAATATAAACTTATTTTTTTTTCAGTAAATAAAAATGAATATCTAAATAGTATTATACAAAATAATTCAAAGCTAACCACTGGAATATTAACTAACCTTTTTATTAAGAATACATATATAATGTTTTCAAAATAATTAAATTAGATTACTATTAAAGATTTTAACAATAAGCTACTTAAAAAAAAGAATTGTAAATCAGAAAATTATAATGATCTAGATAGCAATTATAAAAATAGAATATAAGTTTAAAGATCAATAGAATCATCTCCTATCTTACTAATTTTTAAAACAAATTTTAAAAAGTATATTTTCTTATTTAAATTTAAGAGATTTTGTATTTCTAAACAAATTATTAATTGATAATATTGTGTTTAGTAGCTGTATCTATTACTCTTTATAATTATCAATTAAAGAAATTTTATTTAAATAAAACTTATAAATTTTAAATTTTAAATTATTTATATATTTTTATCATTGAAGTTTTTTATAATAATAATTATGTTTGTATTTTATAAAATAATAAATATAAAAAAAATATTAGTTATATTTATTATTATTTTTTAAAAAATAAAAATTTTAAGAAAATTTTAAGAAAAATTAAAAATATCAAAATTATCTATTATAATTATATATTTAAATTAACTGTTAATTTCCTATCTCCTAAAAGATTAAGTTATA